GGTACACAAACTGAATGAGGCAAAATAGCAAGCAGGGAGTAATCCAGGGAAACAGAAAGCCTGCACAAGCAGTTTAGCACTGAAGACGGAGCTAAAGAGGGAAAAGTTGTACTGGTTGCTCAGAAGTAGCCTCTGAAGATTAAATAGACTTCTCAGGGAGGAGGTGGCTAGATACTGATATTCAGCTTTGAAAGCTCAGGGACTTGATTTTATCATTTACCCCAAGGAAAGTAACTGCTGAGGTCTTAATCCACAGTAGTTAAACAAAGGAGTTATACATGTATGTACCAGAAAATGAATTAACTTGTTCACAATATGCCTAACTACCAGGCCAAATACACATATTCATTCTCCATGGCATCTACTTTTGCAGGACTTAGCTAGTCAGCAAATACCAAATTAGTAAATGGAGCTCAAGCACAGGGTATATGTTGTAGCATTTCAATAACAACATTGTTGTTGATGCTCTTATTGAGAAAAAATCATTTCAAAGAGTAATCTAGATTGCATTAATTTATTAAGGCAGAGAAATACATAGTATACTTTAGAACAGTTTCTATTCAGAAGAATAAAACAATAAAAAATAAAATAAGCCTTTCCCTTTCCAAACAATCTAGTCATAAAACCTTTAGATGGAGAAGAACGTACATGTTCATGATGGCTGGAGGTGGGAGTATGTGAAAGCTCAGCCTAGAGTAGAAAACCTGAGCTCAGTAGGCTGAGGAGGGTAGGGAGACAGCTTGGCACAGGGTTTCAAGCATCCAAAAGTGTTAAGAGTTCAAAGAGGATGAAAAGGCATCTGGCAGCAGGGATGACCCAACTCAGGAGGAGGAAATCACATGAGGGGGAAGTCTACCAGGGGAATTCAGATCCCCAGATTAGGGAGGGCATCCATACAAGAGGCCATCTGATAAAGAGCATCAGACTGAGCAGGCTGACTCAGGTGATCCTGGGTAGGGAATGGGGAGGTGGTCCCGCATGGAAGTCAGAGCACAAACAGAATGGGATAACATCCATGTGACGAAACCATCATGAGGAGTCAGAGCCCAAGAAGGGTGAGAAGGGTTTGCACATGGGAATGGAGTCAGTCCAATGTGAGATAGTGAAGCCCCAGTGCAGTGATGGGAGATTCATTACATACAAAGGGTATTGGTCAAATAAATATATTAAGAATACAGTCAGTTCCTTGCTTCTCATTCCCTTCACTGTGTATTACTAGGCAAACCCCCAACCTTGATTACATCCAACTTCCCAACTTACTCAGTGCCTACCCAATGAACAGCTGAACAACACTAAAGAAACACAACCATGATGACTGGCACCCAAAAAAATTTTAACCCACAAACCTCAAGTGACCCCATGACATTGTCATATAACCCTACAACACTTTCCTAATCAACTTACTCTCTGAGGTAGAAACTACTTTACACTTTTTCTAGCCCTCTATCAACTCCTTCTCTCACCATCAGCTAATAATTTCACTTCCTTTTTCCTCTGAGAATATAGAAACAATAAAAATAAACCTTATTCTCTCACCACTAAATTTACCAATTACATATTCTGCCATACTCTTATATATATCACATAAATAGGGCACGCTTTTTAACTCAGTAGACGGAGCCTATCTCTTCTTGCCTACTCAAGGATTTTGCTCCACAATTATCCTTGCTCTTTAATCAACTCTGCCCTCTCTCCAAGGTCATTCCTATCAGTCTGTAAATGCTTTATCCCATTGTAGGGAAAATGGAAGTTCCTATGGCCAGGATCCTCACCTGCCCGATTACTTGCCCACTGCATACATGCAATGCTCGCAAGTGCATGCTTGCACATGTATTGGCAGTGAGCTACTACTGACTCTATATAAGGAGCTCTGCCCAGTGATCTGGGGCTATGAGACATTGGAGAGGTCCAGAGGCGGAGATCTGCTTGCTGCATGCAAACTGACCTTGAGGCGGATGGGATTCTAGCTCCTGACCTGCCACCACAAGAATAAAGCTGGGTATAAACCCTTTAACCCATAACATTCAGTTGTTATTTTTCAGTCTCACCAAGTCCTGAGTGACTAGCCTGTTGCTGAAACCCTCAGGCGAGATATATATATATATATATATATATATATGCTTTATCTCATACTTACCCCACAGTTTAAATAATGTTTAAAAAAACAACATATGGGAGCAATGTGAGATAAGAAAAACTGAGGAAATCAGCACCCAGGTCATTTACAGTATCAGCAAGAAGCAAGACAAAACTGATGAGTTGTGGACAACAGGGAAAAACGCTTCTGAGGGTTCAGGTCGACTGAGGCAATGCAAGTAAAGTCAGAGGAAGAATGGGAAGGACTGAAGTAGCCTGAAATTTTAAAGAGGTAGGGGAGAAAGGGGGAACGTTAGGCAAATGGAACAACATGAAAATTAAAATTCCTAAGATAGAAACAACTATCTAAGATAGGTAACAAAGATCGGTGAGGAGCAGCAGAGAAACTCACGTGTTTAAGTCAAGGTAAATACTACTAGATATAGGGACAAATTAAAACAGGGAAAAGGAAAGATAAAAGCTGAAGATACAAGAGGGTGGGGGGAACTGAAATGATGAGAACATAGCAGACTGGGAAAACTAAGGGGATGTGGACCATAAGATGAAGGGAATGTCTCCAACCACAGAAGGAGGCGTGAGCAACTCAGGAAAAAGTTAATGGACAAAACACTGTGGGTGGGAGTTTAACCTGGGAAATGAGAGCAGCCTAAAAGTGGGTAGTAAATGAAGAGAGTCAAACCACAAATGCAAGAACTACAGGGAGAACATGAGCAGACAGCTCAGAAAAACAGCTATACATGAATGAAACCATTTGAAGGGGGGAGTGGGTGATAGACTGAGAGAGATACTAGATCATCAACCAACATGGAAACATCCAGAAAAAACTGAAAACAAAACAAGAATAACCAACAAAACTCTCCTTGATCCTGCAAACCTTTTTAGCAACTGTCTTCTTTCTCCACTTACAGCAAATTCATAACAATTCTGTTTCACTTCCTTACCTCCTGTTTTCTCAGATTACTCCAAGTGGTTTTGTCAAGATCACCAATGGTTTCCACACAGCCAAACCTTCCTCTTAACTGAGCTATCGAATATTTGACACAGTTGATGACACCTTCCTTCTTGTAATACTTTATTCACTTGTCCTCCCAGACACCACTTTCCCAGTTTTCTTCATTTTACTAACTGTTCTTTTAGCATCTTTTGTTGGCCCCTCTTTCACCTACTTCTAAATGTTAATGTGCTTTAGGTTCAGGTCTTGGATCTGTTCCTCATATTCACACATATATTCGCATCTGCACAATTCCATCAGGCTTTAAAACTAACTATATGTAAAACTAACTGTATAGAAATGATTCCCAATTTTCCTTTTCTTGAGCTTGAACCTCTCCCCCAGACATATTTCTATTTGCCTACTGGACATCTCCTTTGGATATTGAACATGCATCCCAAATTTACATACTTAAACCAGAGCCACCCAAGTCCCCTTTTCCTGATTTTCCTAATTACAGTAAAGACAACACTTTATGCTTGATGCTCCTACTTCTCTTATACACCATTATCTAAATCACTAGCTAATCTGTTGGTTTTAAAACACATCTTAAATCCAAGCTTTTCTCATCATTTCTACCTCCACCCTTCTATCCTTGCCAGTTACAGGTAGTCTTGTCTGAGCAACCAAACTGATTGCTTTAAAATGTATAACATGCCCTTTTCCTGCTTAAAAATTTCCGGTAGATTCCTACTTGAGTAACAGTAGAACGCAAGGGCCTACAGGAACTAGTCCCTTCTATCTCTCTGACTTAATTTTCTACCATTTTTTCCCCCACCACTTTGCTGCTCTTTGTAATTCTTTGGACACACCAAGCATGCTCCCCCCTCAGGAACTCTGCACTTGGGGGATTAAAACTGACTGGAATGTTCTTGCCCCAGATTCTGAATGACCAACTCCCTCACTGAATGATTAAATGTTTAAAATATAACTCACTGCTGTGTGAAAAAGAGAGAACTTCAAGAATGAGGGCAGGAAAACAAGTTTGGAGACTACTAGAATAGTTCAAAAGGAACAGGATGGTAGCTCGAACCAGAAAAGGAGCAATGAAGATGGAATGAAGGGAAAAATTCTGGATATGTTTTAAGAGTAGCTAATAATTACTTAAGAATTGGGAACAGGGTGAGATGAAGGAATCAAAGGATGAAACTAAGGTTTTGGCATGAACATATGTGTGGAAAATGACATCATTTATTCAATTGGAGAATACTGAGGTAGTAACAGCCTTGGGGATGTGCAAGGGGGATGAGGAAGACAGAGGACCATGAGTTCTGTTTTGAACATTTTTTTTGAGATGCCCATTAAATATATGAACAGCTGGACCTATGTGTCTAGAATTTAGGAAAGAAATTTGGGTTAAATATATAAACTTGAGAGTCATCAACATGTAACCAGTACTTAAAGCCAAGAGACTGTGAATAAGATCACCCAAGAAGAGTCAAGCAAAAGCAGACTAAGCAAAGGAGACTAAGGTATGGCCAGTGAGAAAGGAGGTATGATATTACGGTGTCATAGAAGCAGACAGCAATGTTTTCTGAAAAGGGGAAAACCAACTGTAAGGTTGGAGGCACTGGAGGGAGGGGTGAGCACATCAGACACTGATGACACGCCAAAGTCCCCGTCTGCTGCCCCCTCCCAACCTGAAAAATGTGCCTTAGGCTAGCCGATCCTCACACCTCGGTAAATCTAAGCTCTGCCTCCCCCTACCTTCTTTAAAAACTCGCTGCCTGCCCTGCTGAGCGTGACTTCCCCGGCCTGTGACTAGCCAGACCGGGGAACATCGCCTGGGATTGTGCTCAAATAAACTGCCTGGCCCTTTGTTGCCTCTCATCGCCTGCTTATTTTGGTTAGAATTTATCCTACACCAACTACATCAAATCTGCAGAGAAGTTACTGAGAATTAGAAAATGACCTCTTTATCTGGCAACAAAGAGATTACTGGTGACCTCACAAGAGCAATTTTAGTGCGGAAAAAGAAGAAAATCTGAACAGAGTTGGCTGAGGTGAAAATGAGAGAAAAGGAGGTGAAGGCCATGAGTATGTAAAACTCCTGTGAGTTTTGCTATAAACTGAGACAAAGAGGGAGTAGCCAGAGGGTGATCTGCAGTAAGGAAGTTTTTTGTTTGTAGATGGAACCTACCCAGAAACTTGTTCATATGCTAATGTGAATGATCCTATAAAGAGGGGGAAACTGTTAATGCAGCAGCAAGAAGGAACAAGCAAAAAAGCTAATGCTGGAATTGATAAAGGGGACTGACTGGATCCAGTCTCCAAGAGGAGTTGGTTGATTTTTAGGTAAAACAATAAACAATTTACCCTTAATACAGGAAAGAAAACATAGTATGGGTACATATGCAGGGTAGTTTGGTTGATATTATGACTGGAAAATGAGGGACCTGTTTCCTCAATAAAATACAAGGCAAGGTCATCAACTGAGCAGAGATTATAGGTTTAAAGAGAGAGGTGTGACAGTCATTGTAAAGAGAGCTCAGTAAATGTACTAAAAGATTTCACTATTTCTAAGAGAAAAATAAATACTTTCATAATTACAGAATTTTCTTTAGTCACATAAAAGTGGAAGCAACTTAAATGAGTATCAATAGAGGGTCAGTTAAATTAACCACAGAATATAAACTCAATGGACTACTACTTAGTTATTAAAAACAATAAAGGTAGGTATATATATATAAAGGTAGGTATATATATATATATATATATATATATATAAAAGCATATCTGCAGTATGTCACTGAGTATTTGATTTGTACAGTGGTATAATAAAATTCTTTTGATGTGTTAAAATATTTATGTGAGTGTACTTATATACACACACAGGTATGTTTTTATGAACACAGAAAAAAGCCTGGAAAACATATACAACAAATTCTGGGGGGACGCGGGGAATAATTCAGAGAGGCACATGATACCACTGTATATACATATATGAAACAAGAAAACCTATAGGCTGAAATGTGTACAGGATTCCCCCACTATCCAAAGTAGAGCATTCTTATAAAAACCTTTATAAACTAAAATGGAGTAAATCAAAGAAGCAATTACCATTTATTTACATGGAAAACTTTTTGAGCTTTCCCAGAGCCAAAAAATCATCTTAGTTTTATCTGATAATTGAGGGCACATCTTGCTAACAGATGCACACAGAAGTCAAGATAAAGCACAGATGCTCACAAACAGTTCAAAGCTATGGCTGCTTTTATATTTAGATGCTGAGTGTGGTTCCCGGGAAGGAGCACGGCAGTGCTACTCTTGTTGCTCAGGGTGCATGCTGCCTCTACAACAGCTTCTACAAAACAAATGCTGAAGGTGCTATTTTCACTTTTGACCTTTTTTGGTAAAAGCAAAAATCCTCTTTGGAATTTTCAGTTAGCGAAAACAGGTACTGACACAGGTCTTTCATAAAAGGAAAGTGGTGCAATGGGAACTTTCAAACAGTGGACAATACCCGTATACAAAGTTCTATGCCCTTTGCACAAACTAAGAGTATAAATACCATGATTCAAAGATTCCCGCAAAAAGATTTAAATCATGGTACATTTTAATGAAAAACTAAAACCAATATAAACATTGAGAAAATCATGCAATTATTAAAACTGTTCATAAAAGGCTACATTTTAAGTAGGAAATATTTGATGTACAAAAAAGCATAAAGATTAAAAGAAGCACCCTTGTACTAAACAGCCAGATTAAGAATTTAATACAGTTTTATATGATATGGGACTTTATGATAATGTTAAATGGGGAAGAAACCACAGGATACAAAATTAGAGTATGACTTCAGTTATGTAAGACAATACGAAAATACATGAAAATGTCCAATGGTTGTCACTGGGTGCTAAGACTGTGTGGGTGACCATTCACATTTCTTTATACTTTTCCAACATTTTTGGAAATGCTTTATACTTTGCCAGGTTTTCTATAGTAAATTATTGTCACTTTTATGATTATAAAAATACAAAGTTTTACTAGTACCATTACCTTAGGATCGTGAACAAATGTATTTCCTTTGGTTCCAGGAGGGAAATCTCCAGTACAAACATATTTCAGACATTCAATAATGGTCTAAAGAAACAGAAAATTATATTATTTAGTTGTAGGAGAACTGCAGACGTTTACCATGAAATGTTAATTCATTTAAAAAATACTGTTTACTGAAGATGAATGGATGAAGAAGATGTGGTAATATACACAATGGAATATTATTCAGCTATAAGAAAACAAATCCTACCATTTGCAACAACATGGATGGAGCTGGCGGGTATTATGCTCAGTGAAATAAGCCAGGCAGAGAAAGACAAATGCCAAATGATTTCACTCATATGTGGAGTATAAGAACAAAGAAAAACTGAAGGAACAAAACAGTAGCAGAATCACAGAACCCAAGAATGGACTAACAGTTACCAAAGGGAAAGGGACTGGGGAAAATGGGAGGGAAGGGAGCATAAGGGCAGGTAAAAAGAAAGGGGATATTATGATTAGCAGGTATAATGTGGTGGGGGGCACGGGGAGGGCTGTGCAACACAGAGAAGACAAGTAGTGATTCTATAACATCTTACTACGCTGATGGACAGTGACTGATGGGGTTTGTGGGGGGGACTTGGTGAAGGGGGGACCCTAGTAAACATAATGTTCTTCATGTAACTGTAGATTAATGATAACAAAATTTTTAAAAAATTAAGTTTGAGGTATCTTTGGTGATGCACCTGATTTATTCCTGTTTCTTCATGCAGATTTTATTCCAGACTGGTAACCTT